CTTTCCTAGCCTGGACTGCGACCCTACTGTGCACACCGTCTTTGGACCGCTCAGAAGATCTTGCAAATCTGTGCTGAATCTTAGCAGTCCATTGTCTGGGCAACAGTCTTCAGTCAAGATCTTACCTAGAGAGATCTCCCAGCAGCTAGAAGGGGAAGAAATAAAGGTAAACATTCTTTCACCACATGCAGACCGAGAGACAAGGTCATAAAACTGTCAGCTCCACCCTGTCTGTGTACACAGCCCTTATCCTCAAAGCAGCCTGCAGGAAGGCAGGAACACCTCAGAGCCCACCTCGGCACCTGTACTTCACCTCCAGGGTGAATCATCCCCTGTGTGATGGTGCAGTCTCCAGTTTAAATGGCTTCTGTTTCAGGCACATCTGAGCAGAGCTGGAGCTGTCGCTGGCTTCAATATTAACAAGAGCCAGGAAAGGAACAGGGAGGGCAGCAGGGACGAGCTCCCACCAGCAATGGCCCAAGTCCCAACTGTGCCAGGTGTGCCAGTCATGATGGCAGAGGGAACCTGATTACTTGCTTGACATTACAAGGGGTGTGAAAGTGCTTGCAACAAGGAGAGCACCCCACACTTGCAGGCTTGTCAAAGCATCGAGTTGTTGCCTGGCAGGCTCAAAAGCAGCCTCATACACAGCTGTGGGGAGGGATGGGGGGGGTGCTCTGTCCTCATGGAGACAGCGGCAGGTCAATTCTTACCTTCCACAAGGGAAGCTTGTGTTTGATTCTCAAGCCGTGTACTTCATGAGCAACTACCACCCATTTGTCAGTGTGCTGTTAAGTTGCTAGGCAGGTTTCAGAGAGACTTCCAGGTGAAGACAGACTAGAAAGAAAGGCCTAGAGATTGTCTTTTGAAAATCTCTCACTCTCACCCTCATTGTCATTGAGTCAAAACAGACACATAGCTGACCTTCCACTGGATTTCTGAGGCTGCCAATCACGTGAGAGGAGATTGCCTATCTAGCTTCCTTCCTGGGAGCCCCTGGTGGATTCAAATCAGCACAGAGGAGTGAGCTTTGGGTTGACACTGCAGCTCCCTACAGACTAGACTACCAAAGAGCATGAAATCAAACAGATTACAAGAAGCACCACTCATAGTGCAGTGCTTAAAGGATAAGGCTGCTAACCAAGGTCAGTGGTTCGAATACAACAACTGCTGTGAGAGAGATTCAATCTGCTTCTATAAAGAATTGCAGTTTAGGAAAACCTATGGGGCAGTTCTACTCCGTCTTACAGGGTTGTTATGAGTCAGATTCAGCCAGATGACACAATGGTCACAAAGCTCAAAGCCACAGCTCATCCTGAGAGCAGCACAGAATCTGTCACGCTTCATTCTATCGGGCAGAGTCACCATGATTTAAGGTTTAATCCACTTCCAGCTAACCCATCTGCAACATTCCTACAGACTCATTATGAAAGATGGCCCCCGCTCTTCCCCTCCTGCAGCATTAGTTGCTGAGACTGGGGCCCTGCATACAGCCCTCTAAGCTTCACAGAATTCCAGAAGCTCAGAGAAGGATGTGAGAGAGAGGCCACAGGGAGAAGCATTTGCTACTGTCGTTGGCTCTCAGCTGGAAGGTGCTGAGGGCAGACCAGGGCCTGAATTCTAAGATGTAGGACTCTCCCCTACACAGCCCCTGCCCAGGCCTGTACCTAATATCATATTCGTTGTAAGGTCACCAAGGAAGGACAGAACCAAGTTCAGGCCAAGACAGTTTATTGAGGAGAAATTGCTGGGTTGGCTCTAAAGCAGAAAATAAGCACCTGCTTAAAGTTACTGTAGAGTTTTATATTGTCTTACAAGGGAATGCTCACAGCTGCTTGGCAGCAGATAAGAGAGCAAGTCAGGAGTCGTGGATAGTTATTCCTGGGGAAAGGAAGGAGAAATAGTTTTGCAGCTCTAACAGACCAATAGAGCTGCAGCTGCTGCTTTGATCATCATTGTAGCTTTTCTGGGGAAACGGAGGGAGAGCAACTCTGCAGCCCTGACATTCATAATTTTATGTTCTTGTTCTAAGAAAAACTCCAAAGTTGGTTGACTTCAGCTTCTATAAAACCTGGGTCCACCCTGGCTTTCTGTTCTCGTCCCTCCCAGGATCAGAACCTCCCACCACCTGGCGTCATCTTCCACGACTCCTGCTTGGGCGTCCTCTTGTCTGGCCAACCTCAAATGAGCCGGGAGATCCATGCCTCCATGCTCTGACACATGTTGTCCTCCACTGGGACTGCCTTGTCTCTAACTTCTCAGTCTTTTGCGCTCCTACTTACCCTTCCAGACCCACTTCAGACACTGCTGACAGTCATAGAAAGTCTCCCCAAGCCTTATGCAGAACAGAGACTCCCTCCACAGTGTCCCACCAACTCAGTGCATCTCTGTTTCACTATCCCGATAACCCCACATGGGACCTGCCCCTCTGAGGGTCCATCCTGCTCAGGCACGAACTCCTCCAGGGGCCAGAGTAAGTATCCCCCAGCACTTACTACCACAGGGTGGGCTCCCCACAGGTGCTGAGAAAATATTCCCTGAATTTCTCTGCTCTAGAAAGCTCCAGAATGAATCAACTAATTGCCATAGTTCCAGGGACATTAACAATGATTTAAAAGGCCAGTGCTCTTCCCCACCTCTTGCCACCTGCTGCTGCTGTCTGTCCTCTCTTGTGGGCTTCTCCATGCTGTGCCAACCACTGGCATTTTCTACACCCTCTTTTGAGTGTAGCTTGATATTTTGTAATTGAGAGCTCATTTCAAAAGAAGAAAAGAAAACATTAAAGGAAGGAAAAGTGTCACTAAAACATAAAAAGAAAAAAGGCCAGTGCTAAGCCCTGCTGTCCCTCTTGTACTGGTTCTTACACCTTAATCACCCGCTGGTCACACTGTTTCTAGAAAGAGAAGCCTGGGAAACTATTCATGAAGCTTGTCCGCCATCTAATGGCTATATTATCAACTGCACCTTCCCCAGAATAATAGGTCCTTGAGCCTATGGGTTTAGGGGCTTCATCTGTAGGGAGTTGCTCTACTCACCCAAAGATTGCTAGAGTCCATTAATGGTTCTGGTAGTTTGAATACACCAGTGGCTCTGAGGCAGAAAGATGTGTAATCTCATCCCATAGTATTCACAGCCTTTAAACACCCACTGGAGGATCCAGCTGTGAGCTGATTCCAATTCAACAGCAATGAGCCTGGCTGTCCATGAAACGAGGTAAGTGGAAGGCTGCTAATTGAAAGGCTGGGAGATCCATGGTTTACCCTATGGGAGACACATGAAGCAGTCTGCTTCTGGTAAGATTTACAGCCTCAGAAACCCAGAGAGGGTTCTGTATGAGTCAAAATCACCTTGAAAGCAGGAGATTTGTTTTAGTCTCTCGGAAGGAGCTATGGTCGTGCATTGGGTAAAATGTTCAGGTGATCTGAACCTACCAGGTCCTCAGGATACGGTACTCAGCTTCCATCAGGATTTTTCATCATCATCATCATCATCATCATCATCTCACTGCCATCAGAACCAACTCTGGGCTGACCTTCCATTGGGTTTCTGAGGCTGTAAATCACTCAGGATGACATGCTCATCTTTCTTCCTGAGGAACTGCAGGTGGTTTCAGACTGCCAGAGGGACCTGGCCTTTGACTTAGCACAGTGTCTGGCAGACTGCACCACCAGAGCTCACTCCATGAGGATCACAGCCTTGGGAATCCTACAGGTGGTGCAGCTCTGTCCTATATGGTAATAGACTTGACGGCAATAAGGCCTAAGTCCCACAGTATCTCTAATTCCTTGGCCTGGAAGGAAGTGTGAGGGTCCATCTCACCCACCCATGGTCCCAAGGACTCCCACCCTGGATCTGGCTCCCTCGACAGCAACAGGAATTCTCAATCTGCCCAAGAACTCTCAGCATAGAAAAGAGAATGGCCATCCTTGTTTCCTGTCCCTCTGATGTGACATCTTGACTGTGACCTCCAAGGCCTGTCTGGCAACCTGTGAAGAGCAGCCTCAAATGCTAAGGCCTCCAAGACCCCTGAGATTTATATCAGAGCCAAAATGACACCCAGTCGTTCAGGAAGACATCATAGCAAAGTCACATCCTACTTCCTCATTTCTTAAGGCTCCCCCCACCACCCCCAAACCCAGTTCCTCAATTCCAACAGCCTGAATCACTTTGATGAGGCCTGGCCACACCTCTTTCCAAGCCTTGAAACAAAAGAAGCAGAAATGTGTTTAGCCCATGCAATGTTGTATTTGTATTTGAATACAATGCATGCCCTTTACTAAGATAACCTCCCGCAGGTTTATTTTGGGTTTTGTGGTAAAATATATATGTAATATTTGTTGTTTAAACTATTTTTGCATGGACAATTCATCAACACTGATTACCCTCTTCATGCCATGTAATCTTCACCACTATCCTTTCCCAAATTATCCCATAATCATCAACAAAAACTCATTTCTCCTCAGATCTTGAAGGAATCTGAGTCAGAGACTCCAGTTCTACAAGTTTCACCTCTGCCTCTTCAAAGCTATTCATCATCAACATAACACTATCTAATAACTACCTCTTCTGGGAAGTTCTCCTTGGCTGTTTGTTTAGTAGGTAATTATGTATACTATGTCTTAGTCGTAGAAATCTCTTTCAGTTGTTGTTATGTACCTTCATAACAACCCTATGGCTCTGAACCCTGCCCTGTTCTAGCCAACCTCACTTTCTCTGACACATTTGCCCTCATTGCTAGTCACTGTGCTAATCCATTTCATCCAGGGTCTTCCTGTCCTGCACTGGCCCTCCACTCTTCCAAGCATGATCATGATGTCCTTCTCCAAGGCCTGTTTCCTCCTGGAAACATGCCCTAAATATGTGAGATGGAGTTTCAAAATCCTTGTCTCCAAGGAGCACCTTGGTTTCACTCTTTCCAGGACAGACTTGTTTGTTCTCTCACACCACAACTCAAAGGCATTATTCTTATCGTTTAAGAAGTTAGAAATCCGAGATCCAAGATGACAGCCAGCAGGAGGCTGCTGAAGGACAACCCTCCATACGGAAAGGGGGCCGTCAGAATCGAAATCAACTTTCCAGCAGAGTACCCATTCAAACCACCGACGATCACATTCAAAACTAAGATCTACCACCCGAACATCGATGAAAACAGGCAGGTCGGTCTCCCAGTAATTAGTGCTGAAAACTGGAAGCCAGCCACCAAGACTGATCAAGTGATCCAGTCTCTCATAGCACTGGTAAACCACCCCCAGCCTGAACACCCTCTCTGGGTTGACCTAGCCAAAGTATACTCTAAGGACCGTAAAAAATTCTGTAAGAACCCTGAGGAGTCTACAGAGAAATATGGGGAAAAGCGACCAGTGGGCTAAAATCTGCAGAGATTGACCCAGAGAGTGTGAGCAGAGATTCCAGCACTGTTTTCAGACCCCCGCAAAGCAGGACTCTGGAGAATTGACCGTGCCACCACCTGGCCTCCGCTTGTGACAGTTACTAACTTTCTACAGTTTTCTTAATCAAAAGTGGTCTAGGTAACCTGTAAAGAAAGGATTAAAAATTTAAGATGTTCTGCTTTCTTTGTTTCAAAAAATCACTACTTCAATCCTCTTTAAAAAAAAAAAGAGTTAGAAATCCAAATTCAGGATACTAGCGCTGAGGGAAGACCCTTTCTATCAGTTGTGGAGGAAAGTCTTTGTTTCCTTCAGCATATATAGACCAGTCATTCCTCAGAGATGTCCATGTGTCCTGATGTCCTTGAGGGAATGCTGTACATTGAGGAAATGCTGTAGTACAGGGACTTAAGTTCAAAGGACCCACTCCTTTTTTTTAACCTAGGAAAAAAGGAACCCTGTTCTTTTTGCTTTTTAGTGGTATGAGGTGCCCCTCTTAGCTGGCTCTCTTCCTCTTTTATCTCATGTGAAATAAAAGGTGTCACAAGCCACATCCTAAGGACACTCCCCTTAGATCTTATCAGGGCTTCCATAGAATTAAGGAGTATTGCAAGAGGATTCTGCTCTTAATCCTCTTGCAATTGTTTGATGTCTCACAGGATGGAAAGCATTACATGGCTTCTACGTTATATTTTTATATGCATATATTTTGAGAGGACACAAAGCAACCCATGACACATTCATTTGACAAATAGGCCAGGCAGATGGAAAGAAAAGATACAGCCCCAGATCTTCAGAAGCAAAGGCATTGCAGTGATGGGTGGAGTCCTTGGGTGGTGCTAACAGTTTGGTATAACAACACACAAGCCTCTATTGACACGTAAGCATTGCCCATGTGATGTCAGCCAGGAAATGAACCTGGATCTCCTGTATGTTGTTGCTGCCATTGTTATTAGATGCTATCGAGTTGATTGACTAACAGAGACTCTCTGAGTGATGGATCTGAAGCTTGCACTATCCTGCACCATCCTCACTCCCTCTGATATGTTCAAGTCCATTATCAGAGTCATTGTGCCTGTCAATCTCGTTGGGGGTCTTCCTCTCTTTCTCTGACCCTCCACATTTCCCAGCATGAATTCTGCCACGGAATCATTTTTCTTTCTCTTTCTCTCTTCAAGTCCACCCAAAAGTGCCTCAATAGAAAGGTTTGATGATCTGATCTACTTAAAAGTATTAGTCATTGAGTACCCTATGGTGCAACCTGTATACCAATGTTCATTCAGGATTATTCATTAGAGCCAAAAGGTAAAAACAAACTAAAAATTCATCACCAGATGAACAACAACAGCAGCAAAAATGTGCTACATATGCACAATGGAATGATATTCAATCAAAAAGAAAGATTAAGTCCTGATACATGCTACAGAACAGATGAACCTTAAAAACAAGCTGAGTGAAAAAAAGTCAGTCACAAAAAGGACAGATATTGTACGGTACCACTTAGTTGAAATAGGTAAATGTATAGAGAACAAAATTTATTCATTGCTTCCAGGGGTGAGAGAAAGGGAGAACTTGGGGGGTTGTTAATTGCTTAGAAGCCACTGAGTTCCTATTGATGATGGTGGGATAATTTGGAAAAAGAATAATGATAATGTCACTGAATTATCAGGCAAAAAAATGTGGAGGATGGTTTAGTGAGTTTTGGGGTAAGAAGGAGTATAAGAAAAAAGATGAAGAATCTTCAATTCCTGAAAGTTCCAAGGGAAATAACTTATTGTACATATAATACAAAATTCTATATACATTATATCTTGGCCAGTTAATTCCATTTATCTTAACATACCTTGGAAATAGAAGTTTTATTTTTATATATACATGTAAATAAAATATAGTGTGATAATATTTTGTGTATTTTGGTCAAACATTCTTCTAAGTGGCATAGCATTGGTCTGTCTATTTGCTGTATAGAGGTAACTCGTGGTTTCTGTGATGCTGAACACTGTGAAACTGATGTGTCAAACGTGATAATGGTTACCCATGGTGGACAGTGTTTGGTGAAGCTCCCTGATTAAAATAAGCTTGGAAGCAGGAATGGCATCCACCAATGAAATAGCTTGCCTCTGGAAACTCTATGAACTTGAAGAAACAAAAAAAGTTATACAAGTGTTCAGGTCTTTTGTTCATAGGGTCTCCATGAGTCATCTATGAAGACACTTACCAACAACACCACCAACACAGAGAGAGCTCTGTGAGCCTGGTGGATAGAAAGTTATGCTACCGAGCCAAAGGTGAGTGGTTTTAATCGGCAGCCTTCAGGCCTGGTTTTAATTGGTTTTGCTCAAACATTCTTCTAAGTGGTATAGCACTGGTCTGTTCATTTACTCTACAGCGGTAACTTGTGGTTGCTGTGATGCTAAACACTGTGACACTGATGTGTCAAATGCAATAATGGTTATGCATGGTGGACAGTGTGTGGTGGAGCTCCCTGAATAAAACAGACTTGGAAGCAGGAGTGACATCTACTTCTGAAATAGCTTGCCTCTGGAAAACCTATGAACCCAGCAAAAGGATGCAAGTTATACAAGTGTTCAGGTCTTTTATTCGTAGGGTCGCTATGAGTCATCTATTACTCGAAGGCACTTAAGAACAACAACATGTCTATTTCTGCCACACAAAAACTAAAATAGCCTCAGGGAACATGGGAAGTTGCCATGAGTCAGAATTGAGTTGACAATTGTTTTGCTGGCACAGTACTGGGCACCATATTCCATAAGAGGTGAACAGGGAGCACTGGGGCCAGCAAGTAACCCAGATTGGGAAGGGGTGTCAAGAGGAGTTCTAGATGAGATGACATCAGTTCTGCACTGCAAAAGGTGAGTAAGTTATCAGCTGTCAATCAGAGTAAGACAGTGAAAGAAGGAACTCGAAGCCTAAGTCAGACAATGGACATGGATGGCTGAGAGAAACTGAGTGTAGACTAATGACCCAGGGCATGTTGTCCAGGGCCTTGTTGCTATTTGGATGGATCATCCTAGTCATGACTGGGGTGCACTGGTTAAGAACAAGACTAGGGTAAGGAGACCACAAGAGATGCTGAGAGTCTGAACAAGGGCATGGCGAAGGGGCATGAGGAGAGGGAGAAAAAGATAGGAGGCGGCTCAGCAGAATGTGCAGAGTTAGAAAGTAAAAGGAGTGAAAACTACTTCCAAGCTGTCAACGCTGCTTGCGGAAGGCAGTGCCACTGGTTAAAATGGAAGAAGCAATTCCACTTTGCCCTTTGATTTGAGATAGGTGCCAGACACCCAGAGGACGTGGTCACTGAGCAATAGTCATAGAGGTAGAGCTCAGGGGAGTCTCTGCACCAGAAAGCTTAATGTGAGGAAGATCAGCACCCAGAGGCCCCTTGGAAGTGGATGGAATCACCACGGAGAGAAAGAAACAAGACAAAAAGAAGCCTTGGGAGATGCTGGCATACAAGAGGAGGGGATCAAACCAGAGGAAAGCAGACATCACAGTAGGAAACAGGCTCAAGAAGGGGGAGTGCCTAACACAGTCAAACCTTTCTGGGAACTAAAATAATATCCATAAACACTGTTAATAGAGGCAAAGCAGTCTGGTAGAATGAAGGGGATGAGGTCCAGACCTCACGTGTTCTGGTGAATGAGGATAGAAGGTGGGAGATGTGGAGTAGAGCAAAAGAAAAAGACCATACATTCCCATGAGAAGTGCAGATAGCAAGGGTTAGTCCTCTCTTTGCAAGCTGAGGAGTAAATAGAAAGAGATCTTGCAGTAGAGCTAGGGCAAGGTGTAGGATCAAAGGAGGTATGTTTGGAAGAAGGAAAACATGGCTACGCCTACAGGTTGTAACCATCAGCTGTCTGTAGTTTGCCATCTTGTGGTGACTTACATGTTGCCATGATGCTGGTAGCAGCAATATGATGCACTACTTCAAATACCAATAGGGTCATTCATAGTGGACAGGTTTCAGTGGAGCTTCCAGAGTAAGACAGGTTAGCAAGAAAGGCCTGGCAATCTACGTCCCAAAATTAACCAATGAAAACCTTATGGATCCCATGAGATACCATCTCACTCCAGTAGCTGTGGCAAAGTTTAAGAGGACAGTAATAAATGTTGGAGAGGATATGGAGAGATAGGAACTCTTATACATTGTTGGTGGGATTGTAAAATGGTACAACCACTCTGGAAGGCAGTTTTGTGTTTCCTCAGAAAGCTGCACATAGAAATTCCATATGATTCAGCTCTTCCACTGCTTTGGAATATACCCCAAGAAAATGAGAACTGAGGCACAAACAGAAACTTGTACACCAACGTTCATAGCAGCATTATTCACCATCACAAGAACATGGAAATAGCCCAAATGTCTAACCACAAGGGAATGGACTGAGAAATTATGATACATCTAGGCGATGGAATACTATGCAGCACACAGGAGCAATGATTTTGTAAATCACTATCTAACTTGGGAGGGACTAGAGAGCATTATTAAAAGTGAGCTAAGTCAGTCCCATAAGGACAAATACTGTATATGACCATTATTGTAGAAAGTGCATGAGGATCAAGGAGAGGGAGGATGAGAGCAGAGGGGTGAGGATGGGGGGCTACTTAATCACAGGGTCACACAATTTGATGGGTGGAAGGAGGGGTGGGTAAAGGAAATGGGAAAGCTGCAGTGTGAGAAACAATGTATGTGAGGTTTTAAGTAAACCAGTATATAATAAACATTATGTTTTAAAAAAGAAAACCTTATGGATCACAACAGAACACTGTCCAACTCACTAGGTTTAGACCCATCCTCTGGAGAGATCAATCAGTGATAAAGGACATCACATTGGTGATTGAGAGGGCTACAACTGGCATGACAGACCCTCAGTGGGATGGATTAGCACCATAAGCACAATGGACTAAATATGCCAGCGCTCCTGAGGATGGCACAGGGCCAGGCAGGACTCCTTTCTGTTGTA